ATGCGTGTACTGTTCCAAACTCATTTCTGAAATAAAGGACTCTTAATAATTTCCTGAAAAAGAAACTGTTAAAGCATCTCTTAGCTTTTGCCAAATGTATGATTTCTTTGTGACAATGAAAGTCATGCTATATAATGAAGATAATCTGTCATTTCTTCTAAAAAGTAGTCTTTTTCTCTGAGCTGGTTTCAAGGACACTCCTCTTCTAAGCCACAGAACTTTTCCAGGTGCACAAAGCCACCACTACCTTGACCAGTGATCCAACGTCACAAGTGTGTGGTGTCCTTTTAGTTGGATAAGATCTGACTCCAAGACGATTAAAGGCAGCCAAGCCTCCCCCAAAATGCCAGTGTTTAATGATGACGGTTGTTCAACGGGTTCTAAGATTTGAAAAATCTGAGTTCCAAACGGCAAAAGTAAACAAAACTCTAACTGAGATCACAACATACAGTAATTACTTTAGTCGAACCTGGTAGGCAGGCATTTGTGAGATTCTGGGTGCTTCCAGACGTTCTGTGGCCCAGGGAAGCTCATTTGCCTCCAGGGCTAAACTCATCCTCCCTTTCTTGTTTCTAATATCTGCTCCAAACTCTCAATGGAAAGAAACACAAGGGAAGTGCCGGGTGGTGGTGACCTCACAGCTGCTATGGAGATGACAGAGGGCCCCTGCTCACAGAGGCTCCTGCTAGGAGAATCCATGTGCTGGTGGCACTGCTTGGCTGGTGGGGTGGGCCTTTTAATGGTAATGAAGCCTGAGCTCCTTGTGGTATACAGTCATGTCGATTAACAATGGGGATACATTCTAAGAAGTATGTCATTAGGCAAGTCCCTTGTGTGATCACCACAGGGTGCACTTACTCAAACCTGGATGGTAGAGCCTGCTCCACACCTAGGCTGTGTGGGACAGCCTATTGCTCCTAGGCTCCAAACCTGTACACGTGACTAAACCTGTACACATGGCAACTGTAATACCATGGCAAGTATTCATGTGACTAAAGCTATCTAAACATAGACAACATACAGTAAAAATACAGTATAAAAGATAAAAAATGGTTCACCTATAAAGGGCACTTACCATGAATGGAGCTTGCAGGACTGGAAGTTGCTCTGGGTGAGCCAGAGAGTGAGTGGAGAGTGACTGAAGGCCTAGGACATTACCTTGTATGCTCTGCAGACTTTATCAACACTGGATACTTAGGCTGCACTCATTTTATTTAAAAAATGGTTCTTTCCTCAATAATAAATTAACCTTAGCTTATTGTAACTGTTTTACTTTTTAAACTTTTCAATTTTTCAAAAAGTTTGATACTTTTTTTGATCCTTTTGTAATAACACTTAAAACACAAACATATTATATAGCTATACCAAAATATTTTTTCTTTATATCCTTATTCTGTAAGCTTTTTCTATGAATATTTTTTTTCTTTTTAAATGTTTTTGCTAAAAACTAAGACACAAACACATTAGCCTAGGCCTACACTGGGTCAGGATGATTCCACCTCCACACCTTGTCCCACTGGAAGGTCTTCAGGGGTGTGATGGTTAATATTAAGTGTCAAACTTGACTGGACTGAAGAATGCAAAGTATTGTTCCTGGCTGTGTTTGAGAGGGTGTTCCCAAAGGATATTAACAACATTTGAGTCAGTGAGCTGGGAGAGGCAGACCCACCCTCAATCTGTTGGATACCATCTAATCAGCTGCCAGCACAGCTAGAATAAAGCAGGCAGGAGAAGATGGAAGAATGACTTGCAGAGTCTTCCAGCCTTCATCTCTCTCCCATGCTGATGCCTCCTGCCCTTGAACATCAGACTCCAAGTTACTCAGCTTTTGGACTCTTGGGCTTAGGCCAGTGATTTGCCAGGGGCTCTTAGGCCTTCGGCCACAGACTGAAGGCTGCACTGTCAACTTCCCTACTTTTGAGATTTTGGGACTCAGACTGATCCACCACTGGCTTCCTTGCCCCTCAACCTGCAGACGGCCTATCGTGGGACTTCACCTCATGATCATGTGAGTCAATTCTCCCTAATAAACTCCCTTTCATATAGACATCTATCCTATTAGTTCCACCCTCTAGAGAACCCTAACACAAAGGGCAATAACATATCCATGGAGCTGTCATCTCCTATAACAATGCCTTCTTCAGGAATACCTCCTGAAGGGCCTGCCTGAGACTGCTAACTTTCTTTTTTTCAAATAAGTAGAAGCGGCCAGGCATGGTGGCTCACGCCTGTAATCCCAGCACTTTGGGAGGCTGAGGCGGGTGGATCACGAGGTCAGGCAGGAGATCCAGACCATCCTGGCTAACATGGTGAAACCCCGTCTCTGCTAAAAAAAAATACAAAAAAAATTAGCCAGGAGTGGTGGTGGGCGCCTGTAGTCTCAGCTACTTGGGAGGCTGAGGCAGGAGAATGGTGTGAACCCGGGAGGCGGAGCTTGCAGTGAGCCGAGACAGTGCCCCTGCACTCCAGCCTGGGTGACAGAGCGAGACTCTGTCTCAAAAAAAAAAAAAAAAAAAAAAAAAGTAGAAGCACACTCTAAAATAATAAAAAGTACAGTAAATACCAGTAACATAGTCATTTGTTATTATCAAGCATTACGGACTTTTGGACTCCATATGCTTGTATAAAAATGTGCTACACTTTTATACAACTGGCATCACAGTAGGTTTGTTCACACCAGTAACGCCACAAACACATGAGGAATGTGTCGTGCTGTAATGTCACTAGGTGAGAGAAATTTTTCAGCTCCATTATAACCTTATGAGATCACCATTGTATATGCAGTCTGTGTTAACTGAAACGTCATTATGCAGCATGTAACTACACTACGAATACACGCATTTCCGACAAAAGAGAAAATCCTTTCTTGTTTGGGAGCATGATAATGTGGTGAGGAATTACAGCCTCAAACAAACTAGGGTTTGAATTCTGGCTTACCACCCATGAACTTCCTTGGACAAGTTACTGAACTCCTGACCTGGATTCTTCTCTTCTATTAACTGAGAATAACAATATTTTCAGAACAGGGTTCCTGGAAACTGAAAGATATAACACATAAAAAAGCCAAGCACTCATCTGGCGTTTATCCTTCTCCCTCATTTGGCGTTTATCCTTGATCCCCTTCCATTTCTTCCTCTGAGCAGTGACTTCAAGTCCTCTGGTCACCCTAAATTTGAGGATATGTCTCACCTCATCACTGGGCCTTTCTAGGGAAAAGAATCCCATGCTTTGGTTAATGGAAGAATGACAGCATTTCAGAACCTTTACAGGCCAACTCGGAGAGGCATCCATTTCACAGAAAACCATGAAAAGCTGCTACCTCAAGGCCTGAAACTCATTTTGGTGATGACCTATGGCTACTGCTTCAGGGCAGGGCAGTTCTGTGCTAGATAAGGTGGTACTGTGATAAGATGCAGGCAGTGCCATAGGCACTTTTCATACACAGTCTTATGTAATCCTCCATGATCCTGAGGCAGGCACATTATAGCCCCTACATTACAAATAAGAAAACTGAGACACAGGGAAGTATCTCCCATACAAGTCATGGGGTGAGATTCATGGCTGACATTGTCTGATTCCGGAGCTCGTGCTCTTGATCACATGTCCACCCACATGAAGATGTCCACATCTGTGGCTCTCCTTCAAGAAGGCCAGTTAATGGTCACAGAGGACGCTCTGCCTCTTCCTTTTCTCACTGTAAGGAGGCCTGAAGGAAACTGGTAAGGCCTTGTCAGTCAGTCAATATTATTACATTGACTCCACCAAATCAACTCAGAAAAAAAGAATGCTGCTTTCACACAGGGTCTTCCGTGAGCCGCCGACAATACTATCTTCATTCACTGTAATTTTATGTCACTTGACCGATCTGCAGCTTGGGAAGCTCACAGCTTATTTAAGCAACAGGTGGGAGAGGGAACGATGAGAATCCAAGTACCTTAGAACTTAGAAGTGTATAGAAAGGCAGCCACAGGGAAATCATTCTGAGAGTTAAAACAGTCCAAGAAACCTCTCATTAATTATTAATTGACACCCCCTGAGGACTCCGGTTCTTAAGTCACAGTTTTGTACAATCCCCAGGATGGGAGCTGCCTGCTCAAACTTGTGTCCTTAAACCCATACAAAAAGTGCACCATGAAGCTGTCCCATAAACCAGAACAATCTATGGGAGAACTAGAAACAGCGCAGCTCAGCAGGTGTCCTGGGTACAACTATTTCCTGAGAGCAGAGGCAAATTGTATCAGAAAGGAAGAGCTGGAAGATGACAACAGGTGGCTGTGCTGATTGAAACCTGCAGAAGAGATTGTAGCCCCCTTCCCTTGTTGAGCAGGTTGTGAGAAGTCACGTGAAGCTCTCCATGAGACTGATGAAATGACAACACAGGGAAGATACCTTTCAAAGGGGGCAAAACAGTGATATGCTAGAGGCCCCAAATTTAATACAGAATTGTAACACTGAAGGGTAAAAAATGATTTCACAGATCTAATTAAAGCTTAAAAGTTGGAGAGTTCTCACAACAGCAGCACGGCTGAAAACGAGGCATGATCCTGCACTCTCTTTTTATCAGTGACACATGCAAAAGAAATGAAAAGCAGGATTTTTTTTTTTTTTTGAGACGGAGTCTCACGCTGTCACCCAGGCTAGAGTGCAGTGGCGCACAGGGCTCACTGCAAGCTCAGCCTCCTGAATAACTGGGACTACAGGCGCCCGCCACCACACCCGGCTAATTTTTTATATTTTTAGTAGAGATGGGGTTTCACCGTGTTCGCCAGGATGGTCTCGATCTCCTGACCTCGTGATCCACCTGCCTCGGCCTCCCAAAGTGCTAGGATCACAGCGTGAGCCACTGCGCCCAGCCACAGGATTCTAATTTGATTGATTTCTCTTCCCCCAGCTCTGGAGCACGGGCTGCTGTGTGGTGCTAACGCGCTTGCTCTGGAATGCCTGTTTGGGCATTCTCTACCCCGCAGCCTTTCACTGGCAGAGCTGCGCCTGCCACTCACCTGCGCCCCGCGGTCGTTGACCAGCTCCACAGACCACCTGCCCTCGTACTGAATCCACACGAATATGCCTCCATCCGCATCACACGTGGCCAGTTTCTGGTAGGGCTCATTCCACCTCACCAGCACAACCTAGAAAACCACCAAGAAGACATTTACCACAGGAAATGAATCTGTGGGCCAGGATTATTTCTGTGACGTGATGAAACATGAAAAACTAATTAGAATGCAGTCAGTAAAGGGAGAAGACTGGGGGCGAATGCGGGGATCAGCGGAGGGAACAGCCAGAGTTCACACGAGAGTCCACAGGGAATCAGCCCCACTGACACAGCTTCCTAACAATGAGAGGCAGCGCGAACATGCCCACTACTACAAAAACAAAGAGGGGACCTGGGGCCCGTCCGCACCCATCACCTGCCTCTCACAGATGATCCTTCACCTGCTGGTCCTGTGCTGTAGGGAAACTATTTTAACAACATTTACTATGGATTTGAATCAGGGTATTATTTATTTAGTATGGAAAGAGGAAAGGGTGAGTACTATTTAGGTTCATTTTCCTCCTGAAGCAAAATTTTCAGTGTCTTTTTTGGTCTACCTTATTTCTAAATAGTTTAGCATTTGAATGTGGTTAATTTGGGAAAAAATACATATTTGAAAAATCTAAGTTGTTTAGGATTTATCACCAGAGGAAATAGGAAGAAATTATAAGTTTCAAAATTTCTAAGAACTTTGTTTTATAATTTGAAAAATTCTGATCACTTATCTAAAAAGGTAGCAGCTCTGCTAGGTGGCTTTTGAGAATAGATGAGTGCCGGAGGAGTCTGAGGGTGGCCTCACAGAGCCCAGTAAAAGTAGCAAGAGACTGAGGGTTACGGAATGGTTCCCGGACACCATGAGCCACAAAAGCAACACGGCAGGGCTCACCCTGGAGAATGTTCCCTGAGGCTGTTCCTGACTGGCCCATCCTGGTGATCACGAATTAATTCTGAGACATTCAGCACACATTTTTTACGTTCATGCTATGTGACTAATACTGAGTTGGTAGCTATGAAACACACCTGCTGTTCTCAGGTAAGTTACAGCTGGGAAGTCAGAACCTCCAGACACGCAGCTAGATACTGACATACATCAATAAAATGAGAGCTATTATTAACCAGCAAGAGTACTCCTGCTATGAATAAAAAAAGATTTGAACCTTTGTCTACTCCCAGAATTTTGTGCCTAATAGCTAATCATAATAGTTGTGAACATGTGGCACTGGTGTTAATGGTTTCCAAATTCTAATTTATATCTGAAAACAAAAAGGACTGATGGTTAAAGACTTCCACAGTGCCCAGGCCCCTCCTCACACCCTCTGTCCAAAGTACAATTTCTGCTTTCAGACTAACGCATAAACCCTGGGACTTCTCAAAGCAATGCCATGGACACACCTGATTTTAGGTCTTTAAACTTGTGTCTAGGGCACCGCAGAGGGCTAGGAGGAACCCCCAAGAACCACCTGATTTAGTCTGCCTTGAGCAGCCTTGGTTGGCCACACTTGGTGTTATCTACACTTGTTGTAAAACGTATAATAAAATCAATTTTTTCGAGAGGAAATTATTACCTAAAGTGTGAAGAATATCATAGCTCTTTTTTAAAACTGCAAAAATCAGAGGCAGCTGTGAGGCTGAGATCTTTTCAGACCTGGTGATAACCAGGAAAACTGAATCCAGTTGACGGCTCACCTTGCATTGATGTGGACACGAAGAACTCCCAGGTGGCCCCATCTAGCTGTATCCTCTCTGTTGAGACCCTCTTCCTTGCTCTAGTCATAGCTCTGCGGATGCAGTGCTTACGTAACTATCAGCTTGTGAACACCACCCCCCACCACAGGTCTGTGCTGCTTGAGGAAAAGGACAGCATGTTCACCTTTGAATACTGACATATAGTAATTTTGAATATATTGTGCAAACAACAATATATTATTAGAGGTTGTAATCCTTGTTAACTTATATCTTTGAACTATATAGAAGGTATTGAAAGTGATTTCAAGTAGTCTATTTTTTTTTCCCCCAATTTTGCCCAGGTGGCCTCGACCGCACAGCCTCGCCTCCTTCTGCGCCAGGACAACCGGCCGCAGCCACCACGGCTCCCTCAAGTAGTTTACTTTCAATTCCCAAAGGCATTTGAACAACAGCATACACTGCCTGCCTGCCTACGATAAACCAGACACTGTTAGGGCTAAGGACAGCGATTAGGACATCTTGTGTCCCTGGAGTTGTTTCCTACACAGACATTAATATAGTCCTCTGTACACAGACACAGGAGGGGGCTCAACTCACGTGGGGAGCAGGGCAACAAACCCAGATTCATTTTTTTTCAGCTTAGTTTAAAAAATCCTGTATTAGAATTACTGATTTTTTTAAGTTAGACCAACATCAACAAAAGTCCTTAAATGACACTGAACATGTCATAAAATTTAGGATTTCCAAATGGTAAATAAAAGCCAACTTCACAAAATTCTTTCAGATCTGCCAATGATTTGACCCAAGCACTAGAATCCACAAATGTGCATGTGGCTACAATTTGGTCCCTAACACATTAGTTATTTAAACCCATAGTCATTCATGTACTTCAGAATGGCCACTGTGGAATGGAACATGACAAATTAAAAACACAATATTCATGACTGATCAGTTTTTAAATTATTACCTTATTTAAATGTAATACCAATGAATACTCATCCACTATGATCCTCTCTGTAAAATAATACTTGATGACAAGATGTCATACTCCAGAGGAGAGGGACTAGACACATTATCTACCTTTTTACCTTTAACATCCATCAAAAACAAACCTCTTCATGAAAAAGCTTGAACGGTCATAGCATGACACAAACACAAAAGAGTGGAGGCAAAAAATATTTTCAAATTATTTCTAATGTGAAATTAAAGATTTTTTGGTCTTTATGACAACACAGTTGCCATTGTTGGATAAACGAAATGTTCACAGACTCAATTTCATCTTTCAGAAATTCTTCATCAGTTGAGATGCAGCAGTACATGGAAACGTGGTCCCATTTACACACTTTGCTAAGAGTTCCAACAGTATAAACGAATAGGTGAGTAACACCCTTAGAGACAGAAATCTTTCCAGTGATTTTTGGTTTAAAAATAAAGCCAAACTGCTAATGCTGTTATTCCCATTTCCTCCCCTGTCTACAATTTACAGCTGCAGCCTTATCTCCCAGTAGCTTACTTCCTGTTCTCTAAATCCTTCCAGCCTATTTGGCAATGTTAGGACATACCAGAATGTTGAGGAATTGCCAACTGGGGGCCAGCTGGGTTCTCAGTTGCCCGAATTTTGTGCTATGGGGCTATGGATCTGCCCAGCTATCCAGAGATAGAGCTTTCCTTCCCTTCTCAAGGAAAATGTGACTGTCGTTGACTCTCAGCACCAAAGAACTTCTGTCTTGGGGTATTAGCTAAAGGGTATGTTCTTTGACTAAAAAGTCAGAGGAAAAGGTTAGTTTTGACCTAGGCCTTTGATGGTTCAAAAAATACCAACCTATTACCCTCTCTAATATAAGACATGTTCTCTCATTTTAGAGTGTTATTGTTGTCAGTAAAGCTATTAAAGGTAGGAAAATCTACACAAAAAAACAAAGGGCAGAACTGCTAAAAGTCTGTATTTGGGCCATAATCTAAGACCCTAAGTCAGTCACATCACTTCTTACACCTAGAACTACTTTTAGGGAAAGCAAAACAAGCATCACTTTGCCCATCCCAAGGATGTTCGTCTTCTGAGTCAGAAGCCTTCCAAATGGTGTTGACAGACAGATTTACACAAGAAGTCATCTCAGGGAACAACCAGTGTCATCACTGTTTAGAAGGATTTCTCTCAACCTAAAGCAAATGTAATCTGAATGAACACTAAATACACACAGCTCAAGTAAGAAATCCCTGTGATTATCACCACTCTGTTCTTCTTCTGCAATTTATTAAGTGAACCAGCAACAACTACAGTTGTGCAAGAAAAACAAAGTGATTGCCAAGTTAATTGTAGACACATTTGGTCATTTTAACGAACCAAAAGCACCCTGAAAAAGAGGCTGGAAGAAATTCAACTAGAACAATGGTTCCGCAGACTGCTGCCCCCAGAGATGTCACCGGGAAGTCAGGGTTCAGGAAGGCGGGCTCCGGAGTCTGGCTGCCTGACTCTGACTCTGGGCCTCCTCACTCACCCACCAGCTGCACAGCTGTGGCCACCGGGACCCTCTTGCTGCCCTTTTCCTCGTCTGCTTGACACACGCCATAGTAGCATACCCCTCACTGAGTTGTGAGGAGTATCATAAGAAAGGACCTCAGACTGGGGCCAGGCACACTGCAAACATTCAGCAAATGAGAGCTCTGTGTTTTTTTTGTTTTTTTTTTTTTTTTTTTTGAGACAGAGTCTCGCTCTGTCGCCCAGGCTGGAGTGCAGTGGCGCAATCTCGGCTCACTGCAAGCTCCGCCTCCCAGGTTCACGCCATTCTCCTGCCTCAGCCTCCCGAGTAGCTGGGACTACAGGCGCCCGCCCCTGCGCCCGGCTAATTTTTTCTATTTTTAGTAGAGACGGGGTTTCACCATGGTCTCGATCTCCTGACCTTGTGATCCGCCCACCTCGGCCTCCCAAAGTGCTGGGATTACAGGCGTGAGCCACCACGCCCGGCCGAGCTCTGTGTTATTAATTCACAAACTCAAAACTCCAGAAGATAAAGACTGGTTCAGCACAGTATTTACATATATAGTTTCCTCTTTAATGAAAGATAAACGTTTTGAAAGGTAATCTCCCTTTCCAGACCCGTCTGCCACCACTTGCACTCCCTACCCAACTCTGTAACTTAAAAAGCAACATCACCACATGATTCGTGCCACCCTTGGCCAGGAACACCCTTCTGCCCCTTGCCGCCTGGTGAGTAAAGCCTTCCCTGAAGTTCCAAGCAATCCCACTTGCTCTGCGTGCAGCACCTTTTGCACAGTCCCGGCGCATGCGGTACACTGCGCTCCCTCACGCAAATGTTCCACACCAGACTGAGAACTTTGTAACTTTTGTTCTATTAAACTATTCTTGAAAGATGATTAACCATATCTGTTCCCTCTCTCTCTCTCAAG